GTTGTTGATTATCAGTTTCACACTTTAAGCGATATTCAGCTTGTGAATTATTTTTGTTTAATTTACTGCCGAGTCGGTTAAGGCACGTCAGCATAAATGACGGTTCCTTATAGGATGCAGGTTCGAATCCTGTCAAAGGACGAATATTTTCTATGAAAATTACTCGGACATTCAGGCCAGTAAATGTTAATTAATATTGATTATTATAAACAGAGCATTTACTTAAATACTTGTATCTATAAAAAGAATGTTAAACATAAAAATGTCTTTAATAAATTGTCGGACTTTGTCCAATTCTTAATATATATATATATATATATATATATATATATATATATATATATATATATATATATAAATATATATAAATGATTGTTAAGGAACATCCGAATAAAAAACCGGTTAGATGCTTACATTTATTATTTCTTTATTAACAATACGTGCAATACGAGCATTATCAAAACAACATATAAGTTTATTATTTATATATTACTTCCCATTACTATGAACAAACAAACATTTTGCTTCTAATCATTTGACTTCTAATCATTTTACTTCTAAAATATTAAGTTCAAGGTTTTTAATGGGTTATTCTGTATTAGGCGATAAGGAACAAAATTTGTGCTTGTTTAAATACTTATTTTAGCAAAAGAATTATTTTATTGATCCTTTTACAAAGATATCAAAGAAAATTAGACATAAAGTCATAATTGGTGTCTAAGGAAAGTGCTGGTCTTACCGATACTAAATTTTCTAGTCACATTCATTCCAGGAAATTCAGAAGGCAAACGACTGGCCAGCAGGAAAAGAAGTTCTTTGGGCAAACAAATAAAAAATTGAACTGAAATTGCTTTTAGCCGAATACAGTGGTCAAGGAAAATGGGAACAGGAGCTATATTATCGGCAGGGCGTTATCAAATCTGTAATGAAAATTGGAACGAAAATATTCACCCACTTGATCGCAAACGGCAGAGTATATGTTCTGCGTGCAAGGTTTATTTTTTTGACTGGAAAAAACATGGCTGCCCCCAGCAAGCTTATATTGCGAATGGTCACGTATCCTCATACAATGAAGGAAGGCAGAAAAGTACATAAAAACGCCGAACACTCGTCACTCAAAGAACAAAAAAAATCTTTTGCAACGTTGAAGAAGAATCGTGTAAAGGAGAAAGCCGAGGCGCAGGAAGAGATTATTGAGTAAATTGAGAGAGTTTATCAGTCGTTGCGGTTTTACACCAGGCGTACCAAGAGATTAGTGTGTTTGTTCAGGAAGTTTGTCAGTTGTCGCGGATTTGCATCCGGTCCAAAATCTATCAATCGTGGTGGAGATTTTTTTATTATCTGGAGCTGCTTTTTTTTTTTTTATCGAAAATGCTAGAGATATTTAATGTTGTCTTTCCTATCAAATCGTAAAATGAGAGTTATTCTGAACGACCACACCTCTAGATCTCTTCGTACCAATGTAGGTGTCCTCCCCAGGGCTCCATCTTTAGTCCTATTCTATTTTTAATTTTCATCAATGAGCTTCCTGATAACAACTTGGTATCTACGCTAAAGACAAAACTGCTCCGTTAGTAAGGCTTATCAGTCTGACAAGGTCAAAATGGCAGCCGATGTCGAAAATGACCTCAAGTCCGAAGTTAACTAAGGCAAAAGATGGCTTGTTAATTTTAACGCCTTCAAAACTAAAATTCTCTCCATTAATCATCTGAGAGACCCCTTGCTGCCTTCCATGATCATGGCTGATGCTAACCTACAGGAAAGTGACCCGTTGCGCATTCTCGGACTCACGTCCTTTGCAGATATGAAGTGAAAATACTATATTGAATACATTGCTAAGAAACTCTGCCATATAAATAAGGAGGCACCATTTTTGTTTGCAGTCTCTAATAACAATGTCTGAGCGATTAGCTTTGATTGTTCTGTCTGTGTGTATTGTGAAGTCCCATAAAATTGTTACAGGTCCTATCGCCGTAACCGGGTATGGTTCATGTTCGTACCAATTTCTTACAGTTTCCTTTCTGTAAAAGTTGCATATTTTCCAGTCATGTCGTATTTTATATTCAGTGGGTGCCAATACCGCGCAACCTGATACAAGATGATCAATTGTTTCTGGATATCACAGGGCTAACTTATTGTTTCTGCATGTGTGCTTGATCATTTCTAGTTAACAAGCATTGGTCCAGTGCAGCAAGGATAAAACCTTCGTTTTCAGCTTTTAACCCTGCACTACGTAATCACTGATGAGTACGGGGTTTGTCTACATTTAAGTATTTTGCAGCTTCAGTCGGTGTATTGTGCTTTACTTGCAATTTTAACACATTTGAAACTCCATTTTGAACTTGTTAGCTTCCTTTATTACGGAATAAAGTTTCTTACTTCTATCATGTTCTTTGACACATCATCATCCAGTCTTCTATAGTTTGCAGGTATCTTTGAGGGCTAATTGTTGTAGTTTTGTAGGACAGTTCTAGTTGAAATAATCCCCTGCTTCCTTCGGGTCTGGGTACATACAGACGATCAACATCAGATTTGAGATGATTCATGCGGTAGCAAGTGAGAAGCTTTCTCGTTTTGGTGTCCATTCGCTTAATGTCAGCTATGGTCCAGTTAAGGATGTTAAAGCTGTATTGAACCACAGGGACAGCCATGGTTTTTATGGTTGATATTCTGTTTTTTGAATTCAGCTCCGTATACAGTACCAGACGCATACGCCTGTAGCACTCCTTTCTTCATTTGTGTATGTTATATACCATCTCATTCGCTAATTCCTAGATACTTATAGGCTTCATCTTGTTCCAGTTCTAAATCTATTGAGAGTGTTTATGTTATTCTCCTTTTCTTGAATGTTACTTTTGCACATTTACCTAATCCGAAGTCCATACCTATGTCGTAACTGAAACATTTTACAATATTGAGGAGGCCCTTGAACTCATTCTCGTCTTTGGCAAAGAGTTTGAGATCATCCATGTAGAGTAGGTAATTGAATATTTTTTTTTAGTTAACTATAGTTACTGTTGTTTAGTTCATGCTTAGTGGGGATTAAGAGCAGACAGAACAAAAGGGATGAGAGGGAGTCTCCTTGAAAGATTCTACGACGGATATTCAGACGGTTGGAGATGGCAGTGCCTTTGGTGTGATTTAGGTATAGTGTGCATTACTACCACAGGGGAGACTTTGTACATTTTCAAAGTCTTAAGGGTCCAAGAGTGTGGCACACTATCAAAGGCTTTACTATAATCAGTCCATGCTGCGCTAAGATTTCTACGTCGTCTTTGGAATTTTCCAGGATTATTTTGTTTATCAGTAGTTGATCTTTGCAACCATATGAGCCTCTTATGCATCCCTTGTCTTCCAGTAGAAGAATGTTGTTTGCTTCTAAAATAAAGTACAGTTCGTCGGGACAGACGTGATCAACTTATACGTGGTGGAGAGACATGTTATCGGCCTATAATTTTTCGGATCATCTGTTTCACTCGTTTATGGCATGAGATATGTAATACCTTCAGTGATCGATTCCAGACTTCATTGGGATTATTTACAAGTGTTGATAGAGTTTTTGCAAGGGTTTTATGGATTGTTGAGAAATGATAGTCGGAAATTAGGCATCTTGTCATTTCCTGGGGATTTCCATTTTTGGAATTTCGTTAGAGCCTAACATTATTTGTGGCTATATTGCCCCACGCTTCCAGAGGTGTATCCAGCATTCGTTCTTCTTCACGTTGGATCCATTCTGCAACTGGGTTATATTCCTTTGGGCTGCTCCAAATATTCTCCCAAAATGTCTGCACATAGTCAATATATAGTGGCTTTTCAACATGTATAGGTGCTTTTCCAACTTTCCTGTAAAATTTCTTAAAGTCCGTTTGGAATATTTTATTTTGGCGATAGAAACTATAACGTTTTTCGTATCGTCTTTGTTCGCTGTGCCTTTAACTGCAGTTTCTGTTTCAGCTTTTCCTTGATTGATGGAATTTCATTTAGTGATTTAATTTTATATTTCCGCTTGATCTTGCATTTGCATGTCGAGACATTTGTGTTTCTAGTGTGCTCATCTAATATAGAAAGCTCATATAGAAAGCCCATATCTGATTTCCTTTATTTCTTGCATCAGTTTTGCCCTCTAAGCTGGCTCTCTATGTTAATTTGTTTTCATTATCTTGACCCTAAGCTTCTCAGTAGCTGCTAAAGTTGTTGCGCATATGGCGTTGTTAACTTCTGTGATATCTCCCAGTGGTTTATCCATTTAAGTGTTTCCAGAGCAGCGTTGTACATTTGCACTCTGTGCTTACTGGACTTCGTCATATTAATTTTTGGGAGCTGGTCTCTGTCTGACAATTGTGTGAGAATTACTCTTCTGAGTACTTGGATGACGGGGTTTTTCGCTTCAGTGATTTAAGCTCTGTGGTTTTCAAGGAATTCGACATTAATGTAGCTGGAGTCATCTTCAGTGACATCATCTGGATAACTGCAGGTTAAGTCACAGGTAGATTCTTCTTTTTATTTCCTTGGAGGTTATTTCGTATTTCATTTCTTTATTATTATTATTATCATTATTATTATTATAGTTTTGAGTACAACCGTGTATAAGTAAATCTAAAAGGATAAGTAAAAAATAATTTTTTCTTTGTTTCTCTCAAATCATGCAAGGCTGATTTTATGTTATATCTTCGCTACAAACATTTTGAAATATATGCACACACACACACACACACACATATATATATATATATATATATATGAGAAAAATATAGTTTGAAGGCGTTCCATATTTATGGGTAAAAGTGGGTAAAAATATCAGGGATACAGCGTATGTAAATAAAAAAGTGGACACTAAGCGGCGGCGATATTATTTTCATGCTTGAACGTAATCTTCATGCCATATATATATATATATATATATATATATATATACACGAGGTTGTTCTGAAAGGTATGGATAGGATCAGAACATTTAAGAATATAAAGGTTACTGAATGTGACTATGAGTTATGTTCAAGTACCAACTTCACGAAATCTATCTATCTATCTATCTATCTATCTATCTATCTATCTATCTATCTATCTATATAATTTCTAAGGAATTAATACATTTTATTTTTTATTTTTAATCCGACAATTATTTCTTATTACACTATTTAGGATACCGTTTACAGTAGTAGTAGTAGTAATAATAATAATAATAATAATAATAATAATATATATATATATATATATATATATATATATATATATATATATATATATATATATATATATATCTTCCGTTAAATACGGCGGTCAAGGAATATTTGACTAATTTTTTATTTAATTTTCCAGCATCCTACGTTTTTCCATTTTTTAGTAGTAAGGGAGTACAGAAATTTTCCATAATTTTCATTGTTACAAGAGCTTTCTACTACTTTAGCCATTTTAAAGGGGTTTTGTCTTGTGTGTTGACAAATACAGTTAATTGTCAATACAGCTTAAACTGTCAAAACCCGAGAAAAACTAACAGCGCCAAAAACAACCCTCCTTGAAAATGGCTAAAGAAGTAGCTGAATGCCTTTGGGACAATGAAAATTATTGAAATTTTCTGTACTCCCTTACTCCTACAAAACGGAATATCAGGCCGAAAATGCAGTACTGCTGCCAAATATTGACAGGAGCTGTCCAGTTTTCCCTTTCCAGTCTTGATCGAGTCCAAACGCGTCTCCGTGTCCTTGCGGGTGATGAATTATTTTCCACCCTACAACCTCTTTCCCACAGACGAAACGCCGCAAGCCTCTCTCTGCTCTTTTACTATTTTCTTGGAAAGTGTTCAAACGAACTACACTCCTTAGTTCCACAAGTTCTACCCATCACCGCTAAGACCGACCATGGCACGCCCATTGCAGCGATCCACCTTCATTCACTTCGTATTCGATTTGTGAGATGTAAGTTCCACAGCTTTTTTCCATGAACTTCCTCTTTGTGGAATCGATTCCCAAAAGGATATCTTCTCGGATCACTTTAAACTTAACCTGTTTAAGTTTAGGGTTAACCGTCATCTTCCGTAGGTGTCTCCATAAACTGTGCTTCTTACTCTGTATACCTCAATTTCAAGTGACTCTTGGGCTTGTACAGGGTGAAAATGTTTTGTAAAATAAAATATCAGAATTCGAAATCCTGGCTTTTACTGGAAGTAAACTTCCGATACGTGGCGCCGGTGAAAGAAACGCGCCTACTTCAACCAACGGACAATGGAGAAATTAACTGCGACACAGAAATATTTCAGAGTACAAAGATTTTATTTACATTATTTACATTATTCGGACTATTGTCCTCATCTTTGTCGCCATATATATTACAACGTTTCGGCCGTTGTACGCTCTCCTTGGGGACACATGGCACAGTGGATAAAGGCGTTGGTTAGATCCAGTGACAGGACCCAAAGAGTGTGAGTTCAATACCCGGTTAAGGCAGTGGAGAACTTTCAGAGCGAAATTAACAGGAGATAACGGATAACTGACATCCATCAAACATGGCACGTGGAACTAGAACAGTCTACCCCAGTGAGCGAAATAAAGGGTTCAGTTCGACATTCCAACCACCTGAAGAAGGCCGGAGCGTACAACGGCCGAAACGTTGTAATAAATATGGCGACAAAGATGAGGACAATAGTCCGAATAATGTAAATAATGTACATAATACCTCATCTCAGAATTATAGACAGACTCTGAAAGATTTTATTGCTATCAATTATTGTTATTGGTTAAATCAGTCACCAGGAAGCTTTCTAAGTTATTTATAGATTTAAAAATTGTTTAAAAGTATATAATAATACCTTTTTCTAAAATATCTACGAAACTCAGTCATTAATGTCAAGAAAGCAAAACAAACACATAAATTGTTTTTAAGAAAAACGCACCTTGTCATGGTGCAGTGGTTAGCAAGTTGGTCTATCAAATTATTATTACTGAATAGTGAGTTCGATTCTCACTTGGTGTTTCATACTTGTATTAATGACGCATTCAACAAAGTAAAATAGGGGCGTGTCTTTAGACTATTTGAACTGAGTGGGATCGGGATGCCGTGTTCAAATTCCGATCGACTTTGTAGCATTCACTTTCGCACAAACACTATTTGAAAAGGCATGAACTCATCTCTTCTCTCTCGGCTGTGAATTAAGTAGCAGGCTTTCTAGCTTTAGCTGGCAGTCAGTCTGGAAGAAGGACAACTTTGAATTAAAAACCGGTTGGGTGTAGGCAGAAGCAATACCCGCAACGCCTAGCGTGCTGAGGCTGTGATCCCAATCTCCACAGGGGTGGTGTCTAATAGCACCGAGGAGGAGGAAAATTGAGGAGGAGGATAAGGGGTTCTGATGACTGAATCTATCATATATAATAATACAATATAGAAGCATTTAAAAATATGGTGGAAAAATCTTGTACAATCCTAAAGATTTCTTTCTATATTTCTGAGATGGGGTATTGTACTATTTACACTATTGAAATTGTTCGGACTGTTGTCCTCATCTTCATTGTCATATTCACAATGTTTCTGCGGTTGCACGCTCCGACCTTCTTCAGGTGATATACACTGTAATTTTCGTCCAACGGGTTAGATTGTTCTAGTTTCACGTGCCAAATCTTTTCTGGATATCTCAGTTTCAGTTATTTCCCTTTAGCAATTCAACTTTCCAAGCTTTTACCTCTGCTGTGGCTTGGTATTGAAGTCTTTTGGGTCAAGTCACTGGATTACTTAAATCAATGTTTTTATCCATTGGGCCAAGTATCCTTGGAGATACATGGCACAGTGAGATATTTAGAAAAGGCATGGAACATGGAACTAGCGCAATCTACTCGCGGTGAACGAAATAAAGGGTTCGGTTCGAAATTCCAGCGTATATCACCTGAAGAAGGCCGGAGAGTACAACGGCCGAAACGTCGTGAATATATCCTAAAGATTTACTCACAAGTCTTAATCACAAGAACGTCTACTGCCTGAAAATAAAAACAGTATTTTGGTAACTGTTGTTAACACGAATAACAAGTGTGCATTGAAATTGTGTCTGTATGGCTAAAACTTTGATTAGCATCTATGATATGATAAGTTTCCTTAAGATGGTTCTTAGTCAGGCATACTAGTTTTTCAAGGTGAAAGAAAGGTGTCATTATCTGCAGTTCATCCATTGTGCTTTTTCTGCAAGAGAACAGAGAAGACGTCGAACTATATTATTATTATTATTATTACTAGTGTATCCCTGCGGTCAAAATTGACGACAAGAAGACATATATTATAAGTAATTTTCGTTTAATCCATGTACAATTTTGTAATTTAAAATAGTTCGTTGTTAACGTTAATAATTGAACAGTGTACAATTTATAAACACACCAGGAAAGATATCCGTATTTTATTATCATAAATGTTACATACTTACGACCAAAATTTGTTTTTACTGAAAGGGGTTCCCAAAGCACAATATTTTTGTGTAAACTGTGGAAAGTCTGAGTAATCCTTTTGACCGTCCGTAGATTCAATTTGTAATTTTAGAGTCTGGGAAAGAAGGGGATTGTTTTATATATATATATATATATATATATATATATATATATATATATATATATATATATACACACACACACACACACACACACACACACACACACACACACACACACACACTCACTTTACTGTGAACCGTGTCGCAGTTGTTTGCAGCGGTCACTTTGTAGTTTGTCAGCGCGGTAGCTTTTTGCGTGTGGACGTGAATAGGTTCTTCATTCCTGTGTGTCTCATGTCAAAATTTTGCACACTGCCCTTCAATTATTAAACACACATACACAAATATATATATATATATATATATATATATATATATATATATATATATATATATATATGTATGTATGTATGTATGTATGTATGTATGCGTGTGTGTGTGTTTGGCTTATTATATATAGATGTTTCTGAGATGAGGCATTGTAACTATTTACTATTGTTCTCGTTTTCATTTCTATATTCATGACATTGCGGCCGTTATACGCCCCGGCCTTCTTCGGGTGACATACGTTGGAATTTCGAACAACATTGTTTAGCTTTACGTAAGTATATAAAGATATTTTTATTCAGTAGAACACACAGCAGTCTTTACTCGCGAGGTCAGGGTAACATTCATGGTGCTATCTCGGCTCTGGTGATTTCGCCGCTACCCAACTATTTATTGCTGAAAATGAAAAAAGAACAGGATGCTAAATATTTTGATCTATCAATTGCTTAAAATCATTACTGTCAATAATTTTCAAAAATTTTCAGAAACAATAGAGTAAAAATCGCCATTTTTCGCTATTGACGCGGGTTTTTACTATATGGGTGGATTCAACTATCAAGTTAAATGACTGTTAAAAATTCAACTTATTGTTGGCTACAATTGAGTGAAGTTTGTATTAGACTGTTTGAAAACTGAGGGAGTTTTTAGTTTTAAATTTGTGTTGAAATCGATTTTTCGTTTTTCGCGGATTTCGCTAAACACAGTGGCGTAGAAATAAAAATAAGTTATCGTTGAGCTCGTCATGATGTAAGTAACATACATACCAAGTTTGAGCAAAATTGGAGGAAAAAAGTTGAATTTATCGATTTTTGATCGGCTTTATCGATTATTGATTTAAAAAAAAATTACCGATTCTTTTACGCTAAGAACCTGCCTCTTACATTGTATAATGTATATTCCAAGTTTGCTCAAAATCGGTTGGATGTATCTCAAGTGAAAAGGTATCACACAGACAGACAAACACACATCCTCTGTTTTATATATATACATTTACAAGTAAAAACAAAAAATACAAAAATATTTTAATTTAAAAACAACAGAGAATTAAGATTCTTTAAATCTTAATATCTGCCCTAAATTTTACAATCTGATTGAACTTCCACTTTCTGTTTTGTTGCACCCTATTGGGTATTGATAATTATATGGAAAATATATTGAGCGTATGTACGATACATGTACCGTAATATTTCAAAATGTCGAAAAATTAGCCAAAAAATCATAAAGAAAAAAATTCGTTTATCTTCAATCAAAACTGTAAATATATATAAATCTATATTTTTAT